CTGTATGCTCTGTCCCTGTCTTCTCTTGTTAAGTAGGGTGAATGTGGTGAGGATGGTGTTGGGGAAAAGGTCAAGGGCTCCGGGCTCAGTTTTCAGGATGATTCTGCCTTTCGGTCATTCCCATTGGTGTGGGCGGGGTCCGAGGGCTATGTGGAGCCAGAGAATGCGCTGGTGATGTAGTTGATGATTGCAGCACAGAGCCGATGTTGGTTCCAGGCATGAGATGGTTGGTACCGGCACGGTTGGTGCCATACGCGCTCTTGTGGCTGTGCTCGACACAGAATCTGATGGTGCCGGCCTCAACAGTGCCAACTCTAATGGTGCCGACACAGGTGGTGCCATAGTGGTTGGTGCCGAGCCCTGTTCGATGCTTGGTGCAGTAACCGGGAGCACCAAGCGACAGACCGTTATAACAGTTGGCGGCACCAAGGATGGTTTTTGTCACAGCTTCAGCTCTGAAGCCGATTTCTGCCTGTGCCCAAATGTACCCAAAGTGCCGGGTGGAGGTAGGGACCGGACTGGTGATGGTCTCTTTTGGTCTGGGGCTCACATAGGCGAGGCAGCCCGCCATTTCTCATGTCTGGGAGAGTGCGGGGTTGAGGCTTGCTTCGTGAGCTGTGGAGACTGCAGAGCTTTATCGAAGAGTATCATCTTCAGCCTCATTTCTCTGTCTCTTCTAGCCCTCACAGTAAGTTTTACGCAGTGCACACACTTCTGTGGGACATGTGCCTCTCCCAAGCACTTAATGCAGTCCGAATGGCCGTCTGAAGCCAGCATTGCGTCTCTGCATGTGAGCCCAGAATGACTGCTTATTACTTATAACTAACTAGCTAACAATTAATTTATTTATTTTTAAACAATAACACTAAGAACTATAAGACTATGAAAAACTAACAGTAAATTAACTATTAACTTTCTGTAACTCCTGACAGGAATTGATGAGGAGAAGATCACTCCATCTGCGACCGCGGGAGGCGAAGAAGGAACTGAGGCAGGAGCCAGACCGCGCAAGACTTCAAAGGGTGCCAATGGCTTACAGCACATGCCACACATGCGTGATCCGGCTGACAACTGCTCAGCAAAGCTCCGAGCTGAAGCGATGGGATGACCCAACACCAAGAGTAGAGCACCCACGGGGACACTACTCGAAGAAGAACACTTAGTTCGGTAAGACCTTTTTGACGCTCCCAAGTTTGTGGTCCCTATGACACTGTACTGCACCAGCCCTGGAATGAAGAGTAACGGTAGTTCGAATTAGGGTCTTTAATTCGAACTATCTACTCCGTGCCGCGTGTAGCCGCGAGCACATAGTTCGGACTAAGGGGGATTTAAAAATGGCGGCGCCTGGGAACATGCAAATTAAGCCCAGGATATTTAAATCCCAGGCTTCATTTGCAACTACGCTTGCCCTCATTACCCGATCTAGCTCAAACTAACGAGCTAGTGTAGACGTACCCATAGAGAGAAAGTTAGGAGCTTGACTGGGCCTGCTTTAGGCTTTGGGAGCTCCTGGTTAAAATGGCTTCTCTCTTTTGCAAGGAACATATAGGCGGTACAAGAGGATAGAGAATTTTCCTGAGATAATAGATTTCATCCTCACATCCAAAAGTTTGATACCAACAATGTGCATCCCTTCTTTATTTTTTTAAGATCCTAATTCTACCTCTTCTATATTTTATTCAAAAAGTACCATGATTTTCAGCCAGAAGGCCAAGGATAGGGTATTAATTTCAAAAGTTAATAATATACATACCAGCAGAAGTACTAGTTGTTCTAATGTAAAATTATTCTATATCTTTGTTGAAATATAACTTTGGATATTTCTTTTGCATATGAAGATACAATTCAGGAGAATTTATTTATTTCCATGGCTCTCTCAGGACAATATGCACACTCCAAAATATTAATTTATTATCATAACTTATCTTATTCATGGTGGCATTCTGTAACAAAAAATTAAAAATTCTGTACACAATATTTTAAAATTCTGCAAAATTCTACAAATTTTATTTGTCAAAACAACATTAGATAATCACACCAGTTTCAATTATTTTGGCAATTTATTTTAAAATACCTATTAGTAAGTATGTCTGTAACAATAAAGACACACACAAAAATTCCCCATGAGTAGAGAGTTAGAGAAATCACAACAACCCACTTCCTGTTTCTCTATTCCTTCTTCTCTAGAGGCCAGCTGGGGGCACCCCTCAACCCAGAAACTCACCTCCCACCCTTCACCAGCCCCCAGCCACGGCCACCCCCA